TAAGGACAGTGAAAGCTCTGTAGTTTAAAATGGTTTGGACTTTGTTCTGTCCTTCAAAGACAGAGAAAGACCAAGATGAGACTGTTGTCTTTTGCAGTTAGCAGCACATGAGCATTTAGTTTTGTAATGCAAAGTTATCGTTTATATTCTTAATAAGGGCAAATGCCTCATAGGTGCTTAAGGATAATGAGCCAGATTCTCTTTTCTTATTAACAAGAAACCAAATTAACTTCTTCCAAATGGTTAGGGCTCTCTTTGGTACATCCAGTGAACTCCCATTTGCATTCTATTTGGCTTTTCATTCATAAGTGGCTTTGTACTCCTGGAAGTAATTCTATCTTATTAAACAACCAGAGTTGTTTATTGATCTTTATACTTCATGTTGTTGTTGTTGTTATGTGCTGTCAAGTCGGACCCGACTCATAGCGACCCCTCCTTGGGTTTCCGAGGTGGTATCACTATGGAAGTAGATTGCCCCATCTTCCTTCCGAGGAGTGGCTGGTGGGTTTGAACCGCCATCCTTGTGGTTAGCAGTCAAGTGCCTTAGGCACTACACTACCACTTCATACTTCCTAGCTATCTAGAAGGAGCTCTGGTAGCATAGCATCTCGCTATGAGTTGGGTCTGACTTGATGGCACACAACAACAGCTATATAGAAGACATGGTGTGCAATTTACACATGGGTTCAGATACTCAGTATAGGTTAAGATGCTTGATTTCTCTTTGTTTGACATGCAGAGATTTTGCAGACAAGTTTCTGCTAGCACTTTAGTTGGGTTTGGGATAGTTTCTCAACCAATTCAGCTTAATGGTGCAGTTAAGGGAAAGGAGATGGGGATAGAACGGTAAGAGGGTAAAGTAACAGAGGATGTATTCTGTCCCTGGTATCTTGTCTGCATCAGAGTTAACAAAGAACAATTTGGGTGTAGCTCCTTCTGGTTTAATAATGGCAGGGATGCTGGGGGTACTGGTGGATAGGTGTCCTAAGGGGCATAGGGGAACACAGGAGTGGATGCCCTCTGTCTGAGTATCATATCCTATTTGAGGACTCCATCACACTCTTTTGATAATTGCTTGATTCTCTGTATTGTTCTCGCATCTCAAATTTCAGGTGTTAAAGTAATAAAAGCTAAAATAAATCTTAGACTTTATTTTGATTCCATTCTTTAGTTTATAATCAGGAAAATGAGCCCTAGTTAGAGAGAATGACTGGTTAAAATCACACAGTCATGGTAGAGCTGGGGTCAGAACCCAGGTGTCCTAGCTCTTGCTCTTATGCTATTTCTTCTCACCCCAGGGCCTTAATAAAATCTTGTCCATGTATTTAAATTTATCAGACTTCTTTTTTTTTTTTAAGTACCACTTTTTTATTTTAAGGATAAGGTGCCATTTTTTCTAATTCCTATACAACCCATAGACTCATACATTTTGGGGGAAATTGAAACTGAATTGCACTCTCAGAACTTGTACATTCATTGTGAACAAGTCCCTAACCCCAAGGGCTGTACATGGTACAAACATAAGTAAGATGCAGTCTCTTACCTCAATCTAGTGAGGAGGAGGGGGTAAAGCAATATCTGTCAAAGGGTAAAGTAAAATCAATTCGATAGAGGTATAAATGAGGGGCTCTGGGGCTCAAATGGGAGTCTTCTTTCTTTTCCTGTATCATAGAGCAAAAAATACAGGAATCGTGGATGAGGTGGATTAAATAAATAGGGGGAAAAGATAAAAGCTGGAACAATCCAATGTTGTTGTTGTTGTTGTTATGTGCCGTCGAGTCGGCCCCGACTCATAGCGACCCCTCCTTGGGTTTCCGAGGCAGTATCACTA